CTGTTGAACTACCCTCTGTGGCATGTTGTTCTACTGCACTGCAAGCATCACATGGTGTACGCGTGAGTTTATACAACATGTGTCCTTGGGAAAACATGTACCTCATGGACGCTTCCTTCGCCAGGGATAGATTTCGTTTTTCCGTTATTCAACGTAAGCGGAGGACTACATACTCTAATGTACAAACGAACCTCCACGTCTTCCATTTATACCACCACCTTTGTCAACCATAGTTAGTGAGCATCTGTTTGGCGAGGCGTCACGGCGTAAATTCCGGCCTGAGAGGACGGACGAACAATAGTAGTCTCACACTCAACAAACTCATGTCTAGTGTTCGTTTCACATCACTCTCAGCTTTCTCTGCTCGGCTTTGAACGTGCGAATGAACAACAGCCTGCCGGCTGTGAAGATACCAAGGGTGCTGCGACTGAGCGCTACATCAATGGCAACAGGGAGGGTAGGAAAAATCTTCCCACACACACCAACGAGAATCACAGGCCGGCTACGGCGACGCAACCAGCGTCAAGCATGGGAAGAGCGAGTCCTCACAAGGTACCATGCCGCACTTCGTCACGCGGGGGATTGTAAACTAAACAGGCACAATAAATTAGCATCGGAGGCTGTTAGATATCGGTCAACACGGCAAGGACTGGTCTATCCCCCCTTTCCTTTAGGTGGAATCCCGAGCTTGTGTCTTCATGAAGAAGCAGAGCCCGGTATGCTGAGAGAAGTCGGACGATGGGCTTGGGAACAGGGACCAAAGCGTCATGCCCTGCCTGCCGGTGCACGCACCGTCACCGCCATCACCCCACCGCTTCCGCCCCCTTTGCAATAAACGTACGACATCAATAGGTCAGCGTTTTCGTGGACGCCGTATCATCCGCCATAGGGCCGGCTATGATGGAAACAACTACAGGCAAGGACGGTGCGCATCGTGCTGATACGGCTGGGGGGGCAGCAGCGACGATGCCGTCGCCTCAGTCGAAAGCGGCAACAACCACCGCCCGCGACAGGAACGCCTGGCGCCGACAAAACGGCGACCTGGCCATGAGGAACACCGAGACGAGTCGCGGGCTTCTTACCAACAACCGCAACTTCGAGAAGCGCGCTCAACGAGAGCGGGGCCATCAGCACGGCCGACAAGCGAACACCGGAGCGTCCGGGGATGGGGTTTCCAAAAGAAACCCGGTGGCTTTGCAACAGAAAGGGGGCGTGGGAGGTGATGTTGCCGGGAGCGACGGCGGCGGTGGCGGAACTTTCGACGAGCAGGTGCCCTGCGATGCGGTAGAGTTTGCTCAAGAGAGAAGAAAGATGCTCGACCCTCCCAAGGTGATGCGCGAATGAATTCGGTTGTCGCTTTCTTTCGCTATGTATCCTACAGTAGTCGCGCATATAGAGCTTTTGGATGAAGGCGCAGCTTCTGCCACGTTCGCATAGCCCAAGTATCGATGGAATTGTTGAGGACTAAATTGAGCTGCTAGGACGATAACGCACAATCTATATTGTGCAGCACGGTGTACCATGCGTGACTTTTGCGTTCAGATGGTGCGCCGTGATAAGTTCCGTTAATAGAGTTTGGAAGAAGTCTGTTCTCCGCCCCCCCCGCGTCCGCCTGCGCACTGCCTGGGCATGTGGCCTGCCTTCTTTGATTGTTTCGTTTAATCTTGAAGGTGGACATGTCAGCTATTGCAACGGTCCAAGCCGCTTTCGCCAGGAATTTTTCGTTCCACAAGCACGGAGAAAAGTTCACAGATATTTCAGTGCGGTCGTCGCTCAAGAATATTATCATGTCCGAGGGTCCAGGGAGGCTAATCGGGTGAGTGGAGGCAACAGGCAGATGGCGACAATACTTTGTACCACGGCCGATCTATTCGGTTTCGACGAGTTCCCCCACCCCTTCTAATGCAGATGGAGGCACTACCGTTTGTAATGTTTTTCTCTCTGGGTTCAAGACGGACATAGGTAGGGGTTCAGTGTGCACGTTGCCAAGGCCAAACGTCTTTGCATGTCAATACTTCCAAGATCGCCATTTTGAATGAGACGAAAGCGTAACTTGTTTTTCCAACAGCGGTTGGTTGTCTTTGGCTTGTCAAAAGGGCCATGTTTTCACCGGATAACGTGATACGCTGAACTGATTCTGTCCCCATGAAATAGGCTTTGAACTCATTTTGATCCGATGTGCAGGAGAAGCCGTGCATTGTTCTGTTTCTTATTCGTTGCGTTTGGTTCTCTCGATGTTTTGGGTTAAGGTTGCTGTCCCACTACCTGTACTGGATCATGTTGCTCCCCTTCGTGCTGGCGCATAAGGACCGCGACGACTGCGTGCTTCTCAAGAACGACTACCGCTTGTCCATGAGGAAACAGAAGGTGAGGGTGTGTCGTTTTAAGTTCTTTGTTTCGTATCGTCCACCCCTACCAGTAAACAAAGGGCCAGCACAGATGAGTTCATGTGTGCAGCGTCGACTGAGGGGCACGTATAGCTCGAAGGGTGAGCTTGAGACTTGCGCTGGCATACGCTTGTCTTGCCATGAATACGACGCTATCAAGAACAACTGTCACGCGTCGAATACTAAGCACCGAGCGGGTTGTTCTCAGTCTGTCAGACGACCTCGTGAGTAAATACAACCGAATTCTATCACAACCTCAAATGCTTTAATCCGTTCAAGTCCCAAGCTGTGGCTGTCCTAGGAAAGTGGACGAGATGCTCCAGGACTGCAGGCAATTATCCTCGTGCTCGTGGCATCCTCAAAGAAGTAGTACCGCCTCCTCGAGGATGCCATACTGTAACCAACCAACAAATATCATTTGCAACACTAAAAGGAGTCTTCCCCTCGCCTCCTCAATCACACAGTCTCGCGTGAAGATCGGCGATGCGAGCAGCGGTGGTAGCAGCAGGGTACTTATTTCAGGCACCTCCGCAGGACATTCCCCGCGAGCGACGACAGCAACGCTAGCAGCAGCAACATCCAAGCAAGGAGAAGACGACAGCAATGGTAGCGACAGCATCCATCACGAGGACCACGCAGGTAGAACACAGAGCACACTCGACTTAAGCAAGGCTCGGGTGCGTCTGTTCAACTTCAAGTTTTTTTTGGGTCAGCGAACAGTTTGATGTCTCTGTCGTACCCCAACTTACAAAGGAGAACTTGAGGAGGCACGGGGCATTCGAGTTGTATTACAACGTAACGGTTTTCAATGGCAGTCTTAGCTCTACGTACGCCTAGAACGTTCTCCTCTCTCTAGGTGAGGAACTCCGATCCGGGTCACAATCGTAGCACAGTCCCCCGACCGTCACCTCTCTACTCCTGAGACACAATTCGTCCTTCCACGCCTATGTTTCATGTTGCGATACGTGATCTTCTATTCATACAGAAGGAGAGAGAAAAGAGCAAGGATTACATCAGCACCCTTCACTCCGCAAGGAGGGCGCCAGGAGCCTGACGGCAACATCGAACAGTGCTTTGGTGCCTCCACAGGTGGGTTATATGGGTCTGACCCAAGATATTTTTGTGTTGCTTCTAGTGCTGGTACTTAACTTTCATGGTGTGCGGTACTATTTGCTCATATATCTTCGAGTTCACATAACTAGAGGTGCTTAGTACCAACCGCTTCATATGGTGGCATCCACGGCGGCCCCGATGGGTGCCATATTTTATATTTTAAGCTACAAGTGCTTTGTGTCGTCCTATTCACAGAAGGCAAGGAAACGGCAACAACGTCCCGAGCTGACCAAGGACGAGGCGGAGAGTTTGTTCGTGGCGGTGGTCGAATCCTGGTCTAGCCTGAGGTGAAGCAGTTCGTCGGCACAAAATCTGTAGATCCTGGCCTTGGGAGGCTCGTTTCAAGTGATACCCTGCAGTTGCGAGCTGTCCCCGTTATCGTAATTGGGGGTTTATTGACCCCAGACGAAGGGGAGAGTGTGTCCCTTGGCGATGGTCGGCGTTTCGCGTCAATGCAGTCGCTGATTGGGTCGACTCCCTTTGAACTTGTCACCGACGTGCCAGTCAACATATGCGAACTGCAGTAGTGTGCCCGTGGACGATGAGGGAGGCGGAACCACCCTGTCGGACCTGGTATCGAGTGTGGAATTCCGTCCCGAACATCAAATCAGACGAGTCGGTTGTTTTGATGTGTAGTTGACCCCGTGCAAAGCAAGGGTAAAAGCAGGACAAGTCAAACGGCGGTGGACTGGGAAGATGGTCAAATCCGTCCATTACATCAAAAGGATCGTGGGAAACAGGTGGGGAACTCAGCAAAGTTGTTCTCCGTGCCCTTGCCAGGTCGTCGCTTGGGGCGTCCCGTCGGGCGAGACTGGTACACTTACCCATCGCGGTGGCGGCGGTTCGCCACGGGGTGCAGACCGTGCTGTGCAACTGCTACCCGTTCTTGGACACGAAGGGCGGTCGGGAGGGCAAGAGGCTTCTCGCTGCCCTGCACGAGGTAAACAAAGAGCCACAAGAATCCATGAGCCAAGCAAGAACTTAGATTCTTCTAGGGAGCTAGACATGCTGCAGGTGCGCATCGTAGATCCCGGGAAAAGAATCTTCGCTTCGCTACACATGGTGCACGGTCGCCGCGCAGAGCGTCTCCGTCTACTTCCCCTTTCGTTTCCCCCTCCTCGTTGATACCCCGGCGGGTTTGCGCGCCTCAAGGTACTCTTCCTCAACGCCACCTCAATGCAGAGTCGCGCTCACAATCAAGCTGCACTGTCCTCCACTTGTGAAGCCGTCAGTGTGCATGAGGTTCTTGCGCCTTGTCTGCACGAGCGGCACTTGGTAGCGCAAGGAACACCAGCGGGACGTTTTCTTCGCGGCCCAGGGTTAGCGAAGTTTCGTCCTTGATATTTATGACAGGTTGACATCGTTTTCACCTGACTGAGCGGTTTTGTCGCCCATAGTTAGCGAAGTATAGTCCCTGACGTTTAATTAAGAGAGCCTCTTTTTCGTTTTTCACATACGTGGTTTGTCGAAACAACGAACCCAGGAAGTCACCACGAGGTTCATTCCCCGCTTCTACTACGAGGGACCGTTCACGCCGGTAGCGGAGGAGGAGAAGGAAGACGCCGAAAACATGTCACAGCTCGCGGCCGTTCCTATGGGAGGAGGAGGAGGAGGAGGAGGAGGAGGACGGGCTCCAGCCCCGACCCCGTGCAAAGAGAAAACTGGAATTGCGGGGAACGCGTCACCGCCCCAGCCTTCGACTGCACCGCGTCTGAGAAGCAAAAAAAACTTCCTAGAAATGTCTGCAACTTTGCTAGCCGCACGTCGACGGGCGCGGGCCCGGTTGGAATCTGCTTCCTCTGGTGCCGCTGCTGCTACTTCCTCTGCTATTAATGGCTGGTCCTCCACAGCAGCCACCCTAGAGCTCGGGCCGGCGGACGAGGTAAGATACAGACAAGTAAAGCGAGATAGCTTTCTGGATGCAGAATAGTGAGAGGCGTATCCGTAGTTGGGGTCGCGGCTGAGCACAAGAAGGTGACACATACAAAGTGCAGCTACGCTTAGTAAATGTCCTCTTCCATGGACTGGGCACCCGGAGAATCTAGTACGAAACTGCCGCGCTATTTTTCGAAGTTTCAATCCCCGAAAGGTTGTACACAGTGCACGGGTGTCTCGAGGTTATTCTCTGTCGCAGGTTCATTGTTCTTAATGCAAGAATTTGTCTGGTTGACAGAGGCGCGGGAGGAAAAGGTTCCCTCGCAAACCGGTTTGCAATCGAGGAAGGTGCTAGAGCCCACAGGTGGCAGGCAAATGAGTGACGGTAGCATGTAGTTAGCGAGAGATTCAATACGTCGATGTATGGACAATACGGTTTGTCCCTGAAGGCGTGCGACCGTAAGGTAATAGGCAGATGTGTCTTGAAGAGCAAAGAGACTGCCGTCCTTGCTGCCTACAAAGCGAGCTCTGCCTGTGGTCACCAACGGGGACTGACACAGGGAAGCGAGCACGAACCCGTTCCCCCCGTCCGCCTCAACTCGTACGCGTGATCACACTTTCTTTCAAAAGCTCGGTATTATCAGTCCATGTCGTACTGGCGGTGAGCTTTATTCGTTCTCCGACTATTTGGATTCCCTGGAACATGCCCGTGTGATGCGAAGAAAATCCCAAAGGATTTCAGCTCTCATGGACCCGCCTGTGTTCAATGTACGTATAGGCTGCGAATGCCGGTAGAGCAAGCACGGCGACCCAGTTGGACAGGGACAGGCCAGGCGGGACTCGAAGGACAGGGGAAGCTCTCTTCGCTACTAGCACCACCCTTGGATACGTGTTCCCAAACCCCTGCAGGTAAGAGGCGCTGCCAGGTTAGTGACGTGGCCGATTCCAGGCACGACTGATGTACAGCGTCGAACGTGTTCATGACTGCCTAGTTTTCACGTTTCTTGATCTCTGTCAGGAAAAGCTCCTTCGGGATCGTACACGTAAGCGGTTTTTCCTCTAGAGGGCAGGATAGGTCGTGTGCACCACCACCAAATATCATCAACCCTTCTTTGGAGATATTTTCCCGAGCCCTTCCCAGCGAGTTAAACACACAATCGCTGTTGCAGCTCGATGACGCGCCGTCGCTAGGGTTGCGAATCAAGGTGTGTATACAATCAATGCACGCCCGCCCGCCCGCCCGCCCACGTACCCACACCCCTTCCACTCCCACCTCACTCCCTCCTTCCTCCTTCCGCAGCCCAGAGGCTCGGAAAATGGTTGCGAGCAGGGCGCGGGCTCGCTCGAGCCGAGACGCGAGCCGCACAACGACGTCACCCACCGCTGGCACGAGCCTCGGATATGGCTTCGCGAAAACTCCTCCTCGGGCGGTTTGTTGTGGACCCGTCAAGAACAAGTCTGCGGGGCCGACGCCGCCCTCACGGGCGGCTTCCACGCCGGGGGCAAGGGTGTGGCCGATGAGTACGGCAACGGGGGACGGAGAGACGGCCAGAGGGATATATTCTTCCTCACACGCTACAAGGTGAAGCTCTTTCCACACAAACGAATGTCGCTCACGGCACGTGGCTGGTTTTGGGTGTGGGTGGGCGCTTGAGGTGGGTTGTCACTCTCTGGTTCTAGCATCCTCAGAAAGACCTCTTGTGGGCGGCGTGGCGCCGGTAGAATCTCTGCCATCAGTTGTGTTTCGTGGACAAGGATTGTTCCAGGTTATCGCCGAACTAGATGCGGGCCATGGGAGCGTGGTGGGGTGAGGAATCATGAGATGCAGTCGAACTTCGACGGAAGGGGGGGGCACTAGAGGGACCCCATCTTTTGTGATAGTTGATGGGGCGAGTTTTCGTCGTTGATAATGAACGAACCACGCAACTCCGTTGCTAACACGTCCTTGAAGCAGCAAGGAACAATGTTTGGACTTGCTGTTGACACGCAAAAGGGAACATGTACTTCTACTCAAATTGTATTTCCCGCGTCCTCCCCTATTGTCTGTTGTAAATATCGCGACCGCTAGCAAGTGAACTACGTTTTGCATCTTACGATGACAGTGTTTACTCCCTGCTACTATCCTGTTCCTTTCGATTGTCGTCAACGGCGGACGACTCGGTCGCACGCTTGTTTCGAACAGGCTGGTGACTACAGCCGCCACGTGCATGAGAACACCGCAAGAGAGCCACCGCACGGCAGGGAGATGCACCAGTAACAACATCAACATCAACGCCGCCGCCGACAACAGCAACAACTACCACAACGAACGTGGCAATCGGTGGGGCCGCAAAGAGCTGGAAACTAGCGTCGCTTTCGAAGGAGCTCGCCGACAGCTGGACCCACAAAAACAGTCGCAGAAGCAGCTCTCGCCACACTTCCGCGATGCTGCTACTCGCCCTAAACCCCAGCTGCTACTATCTGGAGCAACAGACAATGCTGAAATCTACGCCGACAGAACAACCCGGGTTCGCGACCGGAGCCCCCCGGCTGAAAAAGGGGCTCGACGACCATCAACAACTACAGCCACACACTCAACCGAGGCGTGCATCGACCACGGGAAGGTTACCGGTTGCAGCAAGCACCATGAAAACAATATGTTTGAGGCGTGTGATGGCCCTGGCTCAGGGGGAGGACTTCGTGGCCGGAGTGGTGGCACCCGCGGTAGGAGTGTCACCGAGGATTTCGATGCCGCGGGAGGGGATATTGACGTGCGTGTACGAGTGGGCGTGGACGGTTTGGGCGTCGGGGCCTCGGCAAAGGCTAGGCTGTACAGGGGATATTGCGAGCAGAGAGGGGGGGATTACGACCGGGAGTATCGACGACACGGCGGGAGGGAAACGCTCGAGAGGATAGCCCTTCTCAACGATACGTTTCGATAACCTTCGTTCTCAACAACACAAGGGGGTCCAAATCTGAGGAGGAGGGTGGCACGAGAGTCCCAACAAGGCGTTTGGGCACAAGAGTCCATGTTGAGCGAAAATGTTCGTTAACTATGGTGACTGACAAGTTGGACAAGATGAAGTAGAACGCACAAGCACAGATGTACATCGGAGTGGTGTAGGACAGAAGTCGAAACCCTCCAAAAGAACTTTTTAAGGGCATAGTCTAAGGAGGTATTCCTGCTTATCTTCCTGAACTTAATCGATAGGGATTTCTTTAGTACCAATTCCCACGTTCTTTCGCGGACTGTAAATCCAGGGTGGCCCAGGCCACCATTCTGGGATGCTATCTGGCCACACGAGCGTGCTGCCCACTGCTTTCGCTCAACATATTCAACCGACATATCTTCGCGTCGCCTTTTCAATCTCCGACCTGATGTGGGCAAAACCACTGGGCACGCCGGCACAATGTTTTCATTGAGAACTTCACGCGCTTTCCTACCCAGGTGATAACCAGGAAAATTTTCTCATTCGTGCAGACTTATGGAGCTGTATACCCCGAGAAGTACAATGCTTACCGAGCAACGCGGCGTTCGCGAACTAAAACTCGCGCATCAAAATGGGTCTGAAGGCACCCTTTGGCACGTAAGCCGCCTTGAAAATGTTTGGCGAGCCACCGATCAATATACCTTCCTTTACCGTCTGCCTCGCCCTTGAACGGTGCCCACGGAATCGACCTCTAAAACTCTGCGGTGTCGCGCAGACTACAACCAAATGCGTTTGGTACCCCCCGACCCATACACCTTGCGGATATTGGCCAGCCGAGCCGCTGCCCTTTCGGGCGACATGATCAGATCCTGGCGGCGACAAACGTCTGCCTTTGCTGAGGCGGCCGCAGGCCCCGTTCTCTTTGCCGACATCGCGGTTCGGGCCCGCACACGGCGAACAGCTCGGCGATGACGGTCATCCGAAGAACCTGTATTGTTCTCTATCCTACCGCCGCCGCTCCCGGCTCCTTTCCACGGCCCTTGGGTGTGCTGGTCAAGCGCGCTAGACATGTACGAGGGGGTCTCGGCACGAAACCAGGTACAAGGCCCGTCTTCCTCCCGGTGCGATGGGGTACGCATCGTATCGAGTGGCACCGTCTTTGGCCGCTGATTCTGCCTGGGCGACGGTGACAGACGATCCGAGTTCGAGCCGTGCGATTGTGCGTTTTTGCTTGTGCCCTCGGTCCCAAACCCGCGGTGCAAGTTCACTGTGCTCTTCACCCCGCCGCGGTGGTGGGGGCGAGCGGTCGAGCATCTTCTTGTCCCCGTTGGACTATGACCGCTGTGGCTCGTCGCCGACTCGACGGCACCCTGCTGTTGCCCAGAAAAATCGAAATTGCTCCTCTTGGTGACGAATATCAATACCCCTGAACGGGTGGGACTCGTGGTACCGTCCGCCGTCCGTGGCCTCATATGTCTCTTCTTGAACGACCTCTGTCTGCTCGTGAATGGGCCAGTGATAACACCGAAGCCTCTTGGCCTTGAACCCCTTCCCGCGCCGCCGAGCGATGAGTATATCGAGTGAACATCTGTCAGCGAGCGAGAAAGGGCGGCGGAGGGCACCGACGACCAAGATTGCTGCTGCTCCAGCGACAACGGCGGCAAATACTGACGCTTGCCCTTCCGTCCGCCGCTCCCGCTGCTTACACCGCGCTTTTTGCTCCATTTCTCTCCTCCTCCTCCTTTTTCTTTTGATTCCAGTCGCCCAGTGTCCCTTAGCCCTGCTGCTGCTGCTGCGGGGGAAGACAGTTTTCCTCGTCTATTCGAGGCAAGCGGGCAGGGCGTTCGAGTACCCGTGGCCGAAGACGTGGAACATCGGCGAGTCTTCTTGTCTGCATGTGTTTTCGGTACGCCTCTTAGAGTCAGCGACCGGGTGCCCTCCAAATCTCCAATAAGTTCGAGCTCATCTTGCGGCTGGTGCACGGGGATCAGCGGTGTAGCCTCTGGCTCGACTGACTCAGGTCTCTCTTCCTCGCCACTTCCGATCGACACGGGCGTGGGGCTTTCCCGCGCCGCTTCCCCCTCCTCTTCCCCTTCTTTCGTTGCTGGTAGCACGTCTGACGTGCTGTCCCGGTGCGAAGATTCCACCCTAAAGCGGTTCGCATCCGGGAGAGAAGACAAAACGATTGTTTGAAACGCTGTCCACACGAGATTTACGCCATCTACAACGCAAGAGGACAAAAGTCTCCAGCAATCGTCGTTGGGAGCAGTGAGCAGTGGATGTGCGACAGGGAGCGATTTCCCCGTTGTTCGAAGTGTGGAAAAAAGGGGCGATGACTTTGCCTCTTCAGAGCCACAACAACGTCCTTTGATCGAGAATTGGCGCTTTCACCACCGTCCGGTTGTCGACAGGCCAAGTTGAGGTAAGAATCAGATATAACTCAATGCACTACGAAATAAAGTAGACCATACGCTATTCCCGACAGTCTGCTGCCCCGAACCACGTCTCCGATTCTCTCAAAGATGACGAACCTCTCCGCCCTAGTAGAGCGCATTGTGTCACGAAACTTCGTGGTGGCGTTGCTGACCCCAGCGCCAGACCGGATGGCAAGGAGCGTCTTGAGGATCCCGATGAGGTTGGGACACAACCTGGGTTCATCAACAGGCGGGAAGCGGGAGCCGAGGGGACCGGGACAAGTGGAGAACAGTGGTGGGTCACGGCTGACGTTTCGAGACCTGGAGCAAGAGTGCTCCAAGCAGGAGGGTGCCGAAGAGCCCGTCCGGGCAGAGGCGAAAGAAAAACTCCGAAGATAGACATGCCGTCCGCCTCGTTTTGGGCCTTTCGTTTACCATAATAACTATTACCCCGGGGCCACGCGTTCACGACGCAAATTCTTGTGGTAACCCTAGGCGAAGCGGACCAAAGCAAAGGAAGTTGTTGAATTGTGATGTGATAATAGGGATCGCTCATGCAAGCACATTGATACCTTTGGCGGCGGTGAGGGGGGAGCTCTTCTACACGGCCAGTCATCAAATGTGTTGGGTATTCGGCAAACACGTTCCAGACTGAGGACGTACCCGTAATAAGGAAGCCGCCTATTGTAGTGCTGAAACGAATTGTCTGCGCTCGATAGAATACGCAAGAACCTGTATTGCTCTCTTACCACATGAATTCCTTGCAGCCCTTGGCGAGGCGGAGCAGGTCTTCAGGGACCCCGACAGCGTGTTTTTCAACAATCACGGCGAAAGTTCCCATAGCCCACTGCTCCAGCTCTTTCACACCGAAGATATGGGCTCGGATCATGGCCTGAGAAAGGACAGATTTGGGCGCACTTAGGCATGGGGGCGGGCTATTGGACCCGGCGTTGTCGCGCCAGGGTCACGAATGGTTAAAGTCACGGAGCAGACCCAGGTATAAGAATCGTTGGATCGATGCTTGAAGGAGGATTTCCCGGGGTTCGGAAGAAAGGAACGAGGCCGGGAGTGTGGGTGTGTGGCAGAGGAGAGGGCAGCTAAATTCCCGGAGGCTGAGGAGTGTTTAGTACGCACCATAACAACAACCGAGCGATCGTACGGATACCGTTTCAAGTAGAAGGTCATACACAGGAACCACGGGTATCTGTTCGCAGCGCGCACCAGTAATTTACGGCAGTAGTGTACACCAACCAACAAGTTTGATACTAGCCGAGTGCTCCAGGTGAAAGTCAAGTCGAATCACGCCACCTTTTGCTCGTGATGTGCCAGGGTCAAATGGTGAACTATCATCGGGGTGAACTGTGTAGGCGCCACAGTTTCCCCCATTGCCACTGCTTTGCCGCCCTCGAAGGAGTCCCGCCTCCGAGCGCCGCCTCTTGTGTCTCCAACGGTCAGTTCCTCCTGGTGGGGAATTGATGGGGGGGTTCTCTTGTCGAACGCTTCTCTCTCTTCTCGCCGCGCACCTCTAGAACGGCAACAAGCGTGTTTCCTTCCCGTGAGACTTTGCTCCTATCTGTGGTTACAGAAGTATGGCTGCGCCTTTCTTTCAGTCTCCGTGACAAACATACAAACTATACGACCGTCAGTGAAACCCGCAGAACACCGTCCTGATGACGGTGAAACGTGCTGCCTTCCCTTTGTCCTCTACCAAGCGAACGAAGCCTACAAGACCGCACTCAAAGCGCAGCAAGAGAAAGAAAGGCATTTCAGGGTCAATATCGCAAGGAACTCTGAAATGTCCTCGTACGCGCAAACGGGCCGTTGCCACGCATGGACCACCCATTTGTGACTGCCTCGCGCCAAGATATGCTTTCGACCTACCGACTTCGCGCTTTGTTGCTGCCGATACGAGAGCCAATCGGCGATGCTTCCGTGCAGCTGGTTTCGGTGGTTGTGACTCAGTCTCTTGTAGACGACCTTGGGGACGGTATTCCGCGGCGCACGCGACGCGCGTTGGAGGAACGGTTGGGGCGCATTCCGTGTCTCGACACGAAAAATTTATTCGTTGTTTGACCCTTGGCGTCGCGCTGCTGATAGGCCTACCTATGATTCCTACGGCATCGTGGCTGTTCAAACTACAACACCAATTGCATTTTTCTGCTGACAGTTACAAACAAACGTTGCTGCCGCGAATTGCTGTTTGGGCTGTTTCCGCCGCTGCTGCCTTCGCCGCGAATGTGGAAGCAGCCACACTCACCTGATGGATTACCAGATCCCTGAAAGAGAGTGTCAGCTTGTGGTGGTCACGGTGATGACGTGTGCGTTCGGTTCCGGTCCGCGAACCCGCAGCGAACGTCTCGGCTGCGGCAGCGGCGGCAGCAGCCTGGGATTGCCCGGGGTGCGTCTCATTCGCAACTTTGTCAATCTTGATCAACCGGCAAGCCTCCAGAGCGTGAAGGTCTTCTCGCAAAGTGCTCCCTTTAATAGGGATGGGGTACACGGCCTGTCGAGGGAGGCACGGTGTGTGTAGGCAAGGGGGAGGGCGAGGGGGAGGGCGAGGGGGAGGGCGGCCTCAATGCATTCTGATACCTCTCTTCAGGCAGTCATTCCGACCAACCTATTTCTTCAACCACACGCCTCTTTACCTGTCTTGCTGCTTACTTTGGAGATACACCCCCCTCTTCCCCGAGCTGTTTTATGTCTTCCTTTCGGAAGAGCACAACATGCCACAGAAACTTGTTGTAGGCGTTGAAGGGCTCAAAACGGACGCACCTCCACGAGCTCGGCCTCTATCGCCCGGGTGCCGATGACGCTCATAACCCTGAGGATGAAGGACTGTTGCGCCGAAAGACAGCCTAGAAAAGCAATGATGCGGCTCTCCACGGAAGAAGGCACCGTGCCCTCGAGAACCTTGAACACGTTCATGTTTTCTTGAAACCTGGCTCACATTTATTTAAACAATGGGCAGCGACGACGCGGAGACGCGCGCACCGGTAGAGGGGTGGGCACAATGGGTGAGTGATCGGTGATGTGCATGCTACTGACGACCGTATGCTGTCAGTGGCTGTACTCCAATATGGACGGAAAGTCATCTTAGTAAAGCGGCTTGTGCATGCACAGCAGTCTAGAGCAGATAACTTGTGGTTTTCATACGGACCCTGGGTCTATTCCCAGCACTATTTGTACGTGGGGTAGAACACATGAACGGAAGCGATTGTTTGTTTGTGAAAGAACGTCAACAGCCGGTCGACCGCCCCTTCATCCCACACCTGAAAATCGTCGCAGGCGGAACGTTATTCTGTGGAGTTTGTGTCTCGTGCTTTCCCTTTTCATCACCGGCGGCATTGTCTCCCGCGAGGAGCCCCTGCCTGTTTCCACCTTCCAGCCCTTGCGCCACCGACTCAACTGCCGTTTCTAGCATGGCTGCGACCGCTGCTGCTGCTGCTATGGACGGTTCTGCGGTGGAGATGTCGACATCGTCCTTGTTCGCGTCGACAGCCGGAGGTTGAGCGCCCCCCCCGACTTTTGGTGCTGCTGCAGATGCTGTGTGGCTTGGGTTGGCTGACGTCGTTGGAGTAACGCCAGTGGTAGTTAAGGTGACCTCCCCAAGGTTCCTTTCCACCATGAGGTTACAGTAGCCGATGATAGAAAGGGGATTCCCTGTGCAATCGAAATTTTTCAACGAGGATAATTCGAACGCGGTATGATATTTTTCTCAAAGAAAGCTCTCGCCTCATGGTAAAATCCACATTGAGGATGTAGAATAGTATTGTTGGGATTCGGACGAAATTCACGAACATCAAAAAGACGATGAGCTCAACTTTGCGGGCAATGACGAGAAGCAAAGTTGTCCGAAACTCTCTATGGCACAGGAAAGTGACCCTCGCTGATGATATCAGGCGAATTCAACACATCATTTCGTTGGCGGACATCAGATAACCCTGCCGATCGGGTCACATGGGCTGCTGATACCTTTGGCCAGGCAACAGATTCCGCCACGTACAAACGAAAGCACTTAACCGCTTCGGTTGAAGCAACGAAACAGATTCCACTGGATGACTGAGGGACCAGCCAGCATTGCCGATCGTACGAAACTGCAGCGTCATCGCCCTACATGAATCCACCCGGTTTAGACCGCGACCGACTGTATAGCCGCCTCAATCTACGACCCACACAGGAACACACGTGTCTCCACAGAACACAAACGTACCATTTGTCTGAAGGTAGAGGGCCACCCCAACAACGGGGTCCAGCTCGTCGCAGCCCAGGTGCCGGCATCCCAGCTGGACAGTCTCTTCGTACCGAAGCGAACGCACTAGAACCTGCCGGAGGATTTGAGCGTTCACGCTTCTTTGCTGTGCAAGGATAACTTCTCGGTGAACCAGTACGGTGTATCGCTTACCGTGTGCATAGGGCACGAGGCCCACGTGTTGGGCAATTTGATTAATACGCCCGCTAGATAGACATCCGCTTACCCCATGCCCGTGCCCAGTGCTCTCTTGGCTTACCGTTTCCACGGTAGTTTTGTGCTGGATACGAACCAAGATGTCCAAAAGCTTAACCGTCCCGGGATTCCAATACCTAGTCGGAGTGGTGCAGCCATACAGGAGAGGGCCTAAGAGTGACGAAAACGTGCAGAGACAAGCGTATCCTCCTTTGATCCATGACGTATTGTTTATTCGCCCTTTGGAGGACCCATTGATCGCACGGGATGCTGCGTCTGTGTATTCTGAGTACACCGCCTTGTCTTGTATCCCAATATGTGGCATAAGAACACCTGGAGAACTAGAAAATATAAGGCTAAGGCCGGGGTATCGAACGCAGCAACCACCTGTTCTGTTTCGTCTCGCCCCCCACCTGATAAACCCGCTATCTCGTCTCCCGTGGTGGTCAACCAACGATACAACGCTGGGCTTGCCGCCTTCGTCGCCGCCGCTCGTGGCGGCGTTGCCGGCTTCCATGAACGCCGCCGCTCCAATCTGCTTCCGTCACGTTTCGTCCGGTTGTTGTTTGTTGCACGTCTTTTCCTCGTCTCGTTCGCATGCCATTAGAGTGCGTTGTACTGGATCTACCTCTCGCGTGTAGTGACACTGCAATTGCAGTATACCACAACAATTTGGGACGCGCGCCCCATGAAACCCCCAGACTTGTGACGGAAACACAACCAGTTCACACTCCCGTTTGGCACCAGCTCCGATTTGAGAGTGAAGCGTGAAGTCAAACGTTTTGTGTGGGGCCCATCATTGGCAACCGACGTGAGCCTCGTGGGACAGCCTTCGAGCGACGAGTCATTTGCACCACCCCGCAAGCCACCATGCTGCGTTTGTCGTCTTTCTGTCACGCGTATTTTGTGCGGGCGCACTTGCACTTGTCTATAAGTCGTTTGCCGGCTGGCGTTTGGAGCGACTGTCCAGTTTGTGTTCTCTGCAGGATGACTTGCGATTTCGACACGCCTCTCGTTGCCTACGGAGGTAGTCCGTCACATGTGTTGAATTGTTTCCCTCCGTCTTCTTGTTTGCTTGATGGGATGAATGTGCCCGGGTCGGCAGCCTACTCGAAACGTTTGACAGGGGAGAAGCTCTTCCCTTTCAGGGTGGGCAATGAGAAGGAGGAGCGCGGTTCGGGAACAGGCTGGGGGACATCCAGGGGACACTTCGGGCTCAGTCTCATCGTGAGGCACAGCGCTAGAGGTGACGACCTTCTACCTATCATATACCAGTGGTGCTACCGTCGTTTCTAGACAATCTGCTCCCACAAACCACCCCCCACCCACCCACCCCGTGTGCTTCCTTGACAGGTAGGTGCCGTTTTCACGGGGCGTCAAGTTTGTTTGTGGTGCCCTCGCCCAGCCCTTTCAAAGGACCGCGAGTTTCGTTCGTGGTTGTCAAACTCTGATGGTGTGTTATTGCGTTATTTTCACGGGGCAAACGCTCTTGTGTAGCCGATGTTACTCGGAGGGAAGGGGCGGCGGAGGGGTCGTTTCTGCAAAACCGCCGTAGTTGATCGCCCTCGCCGCTGGTTCGTCGTCTCAAGCGACCTGTCTTTTGCTTTTTCAAGGCCGCTAGGCAGTATCCCGCTCTCGTCAGGCACCATCCCAATCGGGTTGGGCTCTATGTTGGAGTCGGAGAGGATAGGGGCTGGGAGCGTCTTCCTGGATGAAAGGAGTGTTTTTTAGTGTGTCAAGTCGGAACTCTCATAGTACTTTTGTACTTTTTATACAGAATCGGCACGGCCTCCGACTTTCCGGCTCAGTGTTGTCGGAGCTGATTCTACCATAAGCAGCTACGCTGTTTCCTTGTCCCCACTTCTCTTCCGACCAACAGAGACGACGAGAACGTAGCAGGATGACCATTTGGAGAGGGGATATGCAACTACATAGTGTAGCCGCCCGACTGCGCTCGAGTTAAAGTACAGGCATTAGGTTGCAGGGATTTCTACACCAGTCGTGGAAGGCACCTTGAGGATGTCCACAAGAAACATGGTAGGGCCTAAGATTTAAAGATTGGTTTCATCGTCTTTACCTGGAGGTGGAGAGTGCTTCCTGGAGCCTTTGGTGCTCCGCCGCTGCCGTCGTCGCTGGTTCTGCTACGACGTTTGCTAGTCCTGCGCATAACTTTGTCCCCGTTCCTTTTTATGCCGAGCTCGCCTCCACTCTTCCTAGCCTTCTTCCCGTCGTTGTTGCCTCCACCCGCTCCATCCGGTTTCCCACCCGCGTGCTCCGCGGCCGAACTACGGCTCCCTCTTTCGGCCCTATAAGGTGGAGTCAGCTCAGGTCTCCCCGCCGTTGCCTTCGTGACTGGCTCCGAGCAAGACACGCCTGTGGAGGCGGGCCCCACCTCCGAATCAACCGAACCCGGCATGCTGTTCCTCTCGTCGCCGCCACCTCCGCCGCTTTCTAGTTCCCCGACAGCATTCAGTATCGGTAGAACGTTAGAGACGACCGTTACTGTACCTCAGGCGATCACCCAAGGACGGGGAGTGGTGGGCAGAGCGCGTTTAGAGGGTGGCAGAGACGACGGACGGGGGGAGGAGAACATCAGCCCGAGCGTGACAGGTGCAGAGAGTCGCGGGAGATCGTTCCAATGTCGTCATTCGCGATACTGAACAGGAGACACACTTGCCCATCAGCACACCTTTTGTCGGTCTGACTGATCGAGCCGAGCCGCAAACACTTCCAGCTTGTTGCGGAGTTGTTAAGGAATCATACTTTCGCGTACACGAAACTACTATCGTCTCCGATATTGGTTTTAATCCGAAGACGATGAAGGACCTGTAGGGTGACTCACGATCGGGATCGTCGTCTGACAAAACGCTCTCGTCCTCGCTTCCGCTGGTGCAGGCGGTGCTGCTATCTTCGTCTCCATGTTCACCCACGTGTCCTCCACTGTCGCTTCTTCCTCCTCCATGAGACGCACAACTTCCGGAAGTGTGGCGATGCTTGGTGATGATCCCCGGCAGCGGAGGGCTAACAAGGACTACCAGAAGCCGCTGATGAAGATACTTGGTGGACGCCTGCGTACGATCAACCACGTACCAGCATCGGGAGGATTCGTTTTCATCTGATGCAAGCGTTCTGTAGACCTAACCTTGGCTGACTGGCTCGGGTACAACGAGATAGTTCAGAGTTTTGGGGGTGAGATTCAGGTCGGAGGGAGCTCCAGACATGAGGAAACAAGATCGTTTTGCGACATGGATTCCGGTGTTGAGCTGTTGAGATGTTGAGTATATGGCAGCTACAGGGGCACTGGCTGCAAGGTCGCGCCTTTTGAGTTATACCGGGGGCAGCACTCTGGAATCTTTTTATGCACGGGTGAGGGCGGCCGATTTTCGGGGGTAACGGGGCATCGGGAAAAGAAAATGCTAACCTTGACGAGGTCGCAGCTGTAAGGGTCCATCTCGTGCCCGTCGTCCAGAACAGCGACGACGCCCCTGACACCGCTGCCGACGCTGCTGCCGACGCTGCTGCCGACGCTGCCGCCGTCCTCGTTCTCCGCGCTATCCAGCCTCGCCCCTTCGTTTCCCGTTACAGCGATTCGGTTCACAATCTCAGATCAAAGAGTTTTCGCGCTTGGGTAGCAGAACGGTGGCGACTTTTGGCAGTGGCCACGAATCTTTTTGCCAAGCGTTGCTGAGAGGCGTCGCAAAATTTCCCGCCTCGTTCGAAGAGGTCATTCCTCCAAAGGCAGTGATGTAGTCTCTAGGCTGTGCAAGGCTCAAGAGGGAATAGGAAACAGCAAATACTGGCCGCTGCACACTGCTTTGAATCGACGCAGTGGTTGGACCACTTGAAGAAAGCACTGCAGGAGCTGAACCAAAGGCGAACTTGATGACATGTGTTTGTCTAACTGGTGTTGACGGCCATATCCCGGCTTCACACATGAACGAGGGCTGCAGAAGGCATTTTCCCAACGAAGCACACGTTATTGTTCATCCTACCTCGTTCTGCTTGACCATCGACCTCTTGGTCTTCTTGCCCCCTCCCAGCAGCCGATTTGGCGGCCCAGCTAGCCGCGGCTTTACCCTCGGCGTCCACCATGGTAGCTATGGTCAGCATCCCCAAGAGCACGCTGAAGCGTGACTTTTCGGGTTTTCCGTCTCCTTCTGCATCCCCGCCCTCGTCGTTGCCGCCACTACCACTGCTGAGGCGACCGCTGCCTTCGCTCCCTTTGCCACCACCACCGCCACCGCTGCCGGTTTCACCGCCACCACTACCGCTCTCCACGCCACCGCTGCCGCTCTCACCGCCACCACTACCGCTCTGGCCGCCTCCCGTACTACCATCACCACCAACGCCACCGTCACCACTGTTGCGGTCTTCCTTCTTTGTTGGTGGTGATGCTGACCCGATGTTCTCGGCGGGAGGCTCTCCTTCCAAGAGCGTGCAAAGCACCTGAACCAAACAAGACGAGCGGTCGTTGCGACAAGCTTCGGCGGTCAGGGTGGAGCGTTGGGAGGGGTGCGAAGACGAGAAGGAGAGGTCGACGGAGAGGACGACCCGCAACAGCGGTGATACCTTGAAATCCGGACAGCTACGTTTCACACAAGAGGGAGAATCCACTTTGCTGTCCGAATAACGTTGCAACATGCAACGGTGAACAGGTCCCCGCAACTACCCCCTCGCAGCAAAACACACGAACGACTGTAGCTGGCCGGTTGCAACAATGAAAAGCTTCGAGGTTTCTGATTCTTGCCTCCGTTGCCGTCGCCACGTTGTCGGGGAAAAATATCTCGCAAAAGCGCAGCACGTACAGCCCCCGTGCCTGCGGGCTATCCTTCATACGCGGAACAGCTCCAAACGCCCCCGCCCACCAAGGCATCCGACCAAAAGTCTCATCCCTCTCCATCTCGCCACTGAATCCAGCCACCTGGGGTGGTGATGGCCGTAACCCTCCTGCCGTCTGCTGCTGTTTGGTCGTGTCTTTAGACATCGTTTGTTGTTCCAGCAAGTCTTCGTCGTTACCAGGATTAGGTGCTAGGCTGGAGGTGCGATCCTTCTGGTTACGCTCATCGAGGTGTTCGCAAGGACGCTCTCCTCCAACGCGTTCGTTCTGATTTTCATTTGCCCCTCGATCCCCCGTCTCCGATGATGATGGTCCTGCATCTGCTGAGTGTGTTTTGAGGCCCCTATGACCTCCTCCCTGTTGCTCTCGTCCTACCCCTGCGCGCTCGGGCTCGTCGTCGGAGTGCATCGTGCGGAGAATACGAGCCTTACGTGTAAACAACGCGAACAGGTCACAAGGAGAGAGGAACAGAAAGAGTCGGAGGTAAGGCAACGACGAACACACCTCTCGTGCTTTGCCCAAGCTTGTACACCAGGTGGCGGCCTGGAGCATTTCTCTGATTTTCTGTGCTACAGTAGTATGAACTCAAATCGCTAAAAACCCGGCCTAGCCTGCAGAGCCTGCTTTCAACCACGGGCAGTTGATTCAGCCTCGGTGGCGCAAAAACAATCCCTCACTGCTGCTGCTTGCGCTGACACAACCTACCTCGGTGTCCAGCTGGCTGGCCATATCTTGAACTCTTTGCGATTGCTCTTGGGTCAGTGTTTTCTGGTCAACATTGCAGATCCCGGTAGCCCAAGCCTCGCTCTCCACGTGCCCACCGCTAGTACGGCGAGCGCCAGCCTTTGACTTATCTTCGGCAGCGGCAGCGGCGGCAGCGGCAGCGGCGGCAGCGGCAGCGGCGGCAGCGGCCTCGGCGTCCGCGGACGCTTGAGCTGCGGCCCACCGAGGGTCGTCCGAGAATGAAGGCTGGGTGCGTAGAAAACTCTGCGTGTTCCTCTCATCGGCACCAGAAATAGGTGGGGTGTTCCCGGTGGCCGGGGTGTGGTCCACTAGATGTATGGCGTGGGCTCCAAAGCGGAGGAGTGGGTCTCGTTCCTTGTCGCTGGTAGAACCATCACGAGCAGATCCGCCAGTTTCATCGGGTGTCGCCGCGGCCAGGACAAGGGACCGATACAACAGTAGCACTGAATGCATGATTCCTCTCCATGCCGAAAAGGGTGCCCCGTTGGTAACCCGCAGGTAAGCCTGGGTCAGACCAAGGGTCTAACAGGACGGCGCAGAGTATGGTTGCAACCACCGCGAAAACCCGGAATCCGGGAGGGGATGGTACATTGGCGCTAGGTGTGGTGTTTCAAAGGTATGGTGTAGGGTGTTGGACTGAATAAACGTCGAGGGTTCGATTCAGATCGAGAGATCTTTCCACGCTCGAAAGCGGGTGGGTTGCTTGGCGCAAAGCGACGAGGAGGAATTACATGGTTAGGCTTGGCTTCAAAGTTGGGCTGAAGTATCGCATTCGTTGTTCCTATATAAGCGGTACGCCGCTCCAAACGACCAGCATGTTGTAGTACCCAACGGATGCAACAGTATGTGGCATCAACAAAGCACTACAACGCAGCCCGCGGCGCACAGAATAGACGCCCACCTGCACCCCCTCGCGTTGCCATTCGCGGCCACATTCCTCTAACAGCAGCGTTTTCCCCACCCCGGGCTCGCCCTGCGGTCAGAGCCGACGACAACGGCAGACAAACGAGACACTTTGGAGGGATGGCCACAAAAGGGGGGTGCTGGGTGCTGGTACCTTGTTTTACTGTTGTTGTCACCCCTGCGACGATGTCGGGCCTCCAGAACGGTTGTCGACATTCGTTGACAAGCTTTCGGGGTAACCCATGGTTGCCGATTTGGCCATGGTTGTCGTGAAGCAGAGGCTACTAGTACCGAATCGGATGTTTGTGAATAGGGCCGATTAGGTCCCCAATGGTTGTCGTGGGGCTTCTCCGCAAAAATAACGTAGAGCAAAAGATAATACACTCCACCCACATCGAAACACAAACACAGATGATCGGGGGTAAATTCGGTGATTGTCAATTGCAATTATGGCTTTGGTTGGTTGTTCTTTAAAATTTTTCACTGTATGTCCACGGACGCATTCTGACAGCCCTTCAGACAGCAGTTGCGCGCCTCGAACGTGTACCATGCCTACCATGGTGTTTTTGTACAGGCAGCACTCCAGACACAGCTGTACACTGTAGTCGACAAACATTCGTTTTGTTTGGTAAAGTGTGGGACAGGGGGGATGCTGCTGCTGTAGTCAAATGTAGTGTGTGGACGGGTAATTCAGTTTTTGGGCACGCAAACGTGCTGCAGGGATGTAGGTGTACCTCTTCGGGCTTGTGTACCCTTTTCTTGCTAGTTTGCGTGTTACAGTATTTAGATCTTCTGATGGCTCCAGCATTTTTGTGACCACGGACCGCGTCTTTGCTAGATTTTGGGATTAGCAACTGACACGAGTTTAATGTGAAGACAACAACAACAACAACAACAACAACAACAACCCACATCGCCCAACCTAAAACAGACATGACATCAAGTAGCCATAGATCGATGAACCCACGGCGCCTTCTACGCTGCCAGCTATTGATGGTGATGGTATGAATGAATCCGTTGCGTACCACGTAAAATGAGACCATCCTGCGAGCAACAAAGGTACAGAAAAAACGTGCACCGGTCAGGTTAAAATACCTGGAGCACCAGCAGCCCACCCTCAAACCCTTGCATGAGAGAAGACGCCCTCTCCAAAAGAGTGGCTCTCAGTTTCGCACGGCCGATCATCTTGAACCCGGCACTGACTGAACGCTTCGCGTTTCAAGTACGTCCGTGTGTAAGCATGGTTTACGATTTCAAGACACCCATTGGTGTTGAGGGAAAAGAGGGATTGTCGGCACAGGAGAAACAAACTTCGCGGGGATCGAAACGGGACCGATCACTAAATGCCTTCAAAAGTAGATGGATTTTGAAGGAACCAAACTGGTTGTTAGTTTTTCGCCTGAGCTTGCTTGGTGGAGGAGATGGTTGAAAAATGATTCATGCTGCTGAGATGTAGGAATGCTCGAGTGGGCCTGCCAAGTAATGGAAGTTATCGACCCCTATCGCTGAATTCGTGCGGAACTACATTGTGCCGACAGCGAAAGACATGGGGAGTTTGACACATCTCGTGATAAGTCAGTGTCGGAACAAATTGGGGGTTCGGGCGGGGGTGCTCTACTTGTGTACGCTCGCGGCCACACCGCACACACATACCGGTGCAAACGACAGATCCAATCGGGGTGTAGATACTGACAGGACGCCCTCTCCCTTCAACCGAAGGGTGAAAGTACCGCCACGACAAGCATCACAATGAAGGGAACGCAACGGCCGGCACGCACAGGCCGCCGTGCCGTATACCGGCGCGATCGAATAGCTCACAGAGGGTTCTAATGACAAGTCCTCACCGAGGCGGTGGCGGGCCCAAGGGGCGTGTAGACCTCCACCTTGACCGCCTTTCCCTTGAGAGAAATCGTCCCGAGCTGCTCGAATTCCACCAGCTCCCTGGCCAGCCCGGCCGTCACCGAGTCCACCACTACAACGCCGTTTGAAAATCGAGCCGGTCTGATTGCGCGGGAGGGTAGCAATTGTTAGTCGGGTGAGAGAAGGAAACGAAACGGAGGACAATGGGGGTAGGTTCTAGTCCAATCCGGTATCTCTGATTGCCAGAAGGGATTGGGACCAATCGCTCCGTCTGACAATGGGGTCTCGGACTTCAGTATTGGACCGACTCACGGTCTGGTGGCGTCCGAAGACTCCACGGGTCCACCTTCCGCCGAAGATGTAGCAGCAGCAGCAGCTTCGATGCTTTCTTGTCTCACTGTTTTTCCCGCTGACATCAAGCGCGCTGAAAGACAGAAACATAGAACGAGAGGGTGGCCACGTGGAAAAGTAAACGCCCGAGACTTATTTTTGTTTTGGCTAACCTTGTTTACCCAATTGAATAGTTTGAGTCTGCTTACCACTCGCCGACTCGTGTACTCTGTCACTACCTCCCCTGCATTACTCTCGTAGTCTCAATTGTACCAGTTAACGAGGATGTAGTTGTAAAGAATGTATGGAACGCCAGAGGGCTCCGCGTACCCATGGTCGTGGTTTCAGACAACCAGATATTCGCACCCTCCGCCCCCCGCCGCTCGGTTGCACCGACAACGCACCGGCGGTATTGACGACGTCGCCCACCAGCATGAACTCTCGACGCGTACCACCAATGCTGGCCGTAAAAACAGGCCCGAAGCTTATGCCCACGTAGCAGACTATTCCGAGAGCCTTCGATGTGTGGACCGCGAGACGGTTGAAGCAAATGTATCGATCGTTAAGGTCATCGCACCGCTATAATTTCTGTCGTAGATTGTGAGGCAGTTATTGCGGCTTATACACTGGTGCTTGGCCGCTGGCAACACACAACTGGACCGATATAGTCTTTCGCGATCAACGCTGCTATTCCGGCAAGCGGATAGGCTAGCACATGTTAAATCTGACGCATGGCAGATGTCGTGCCTGTCTTGCCCAGACAACAGTATTGCTGGCTCTTCGTGTTTCGTGGCGATCGAGTTCGTACATCCATCCACCATGCTATTCAAAACCACCTTCAACCCGGCGCATGGACCTCGGATCTCCAAAGTTGGACACATTGGAGGCGTATGGATCTGTCATTCACCACGTTTTGGAAGACCCGCAACGCGTAATGTACGCTCGGAACCCTTCGGAGGCGTATGGATCTGTCATTCGCCACGTTTTGGAAGACCCACAACGCGTAATGTACGCTCGGAACCCTTGGGCTTCGGCAGAAATGGTTTCCTCCGGGTTTCTTACTGTCCTTATGTAGTGCCGCCCGTTACAATTCAAGAAGCGGCGGTCGTTCAAGGAGGGGGTGCTTTCGCCTACAGCAGGGTCCCAGCTTCACATTTAGTCTCTAGGCAGCTAATAACGACGACAGTCCGCAACGGATTGCTGGTTTTTGTTTGGAGTCATCGACCGTTGAAACGTGGGTGTTGACTGGCGGCAACGAACGAGTTCGCCGGAATGATACGTGATCTTGATGGACCCGTGGGTACCGAAAGCAGACAGCATGGTCAAAATCCGGCCAAAGGATATCGCAGACAAGTTGATACTCAGAGCCAGCCAATCTATGAACGCACCTCTATCCCCTTCATGATCTTGATGGCCGTCACGCACGCCCTTGCGGAAGGGTTCGATCCGGTGATCGGGGGAAGCCCCATAGCTCCCACCATAACCGTGCCTTTGTCGTCAACGGAAAACTCCTTGATGACGCCTTGGTTGGACTTCATTGCTCGTTGCAGGACCTGCGTGTCGAACGTAGAGGCAGTAGGTTGTCAGGTATCGAAAGACCGCGATAACCTTGTCGAGGTTCGTGTGGAACGATTCCTGGCACAATCCAGGCACCTGCATGGAGGCAAAATGTACTCGTAAGCACAAGTACACCTCCGTTCCTCTCACGTAAGTCTTGATGTTTTGTACCTCGAAAACTATGGGGGAAGCCATATCAACGATAGTGCATGATGGCATACTCTATTGTCCGTCTTCTACAGTAGTACGTCGGCGGGGTACAGGTACGTGAAAACGAACACATTTTCGTATGGAGCCAGTTGTTCCTTGCGGGTGGCGGGTGCCTTGATACCTACTTGCCCAGGACCTATGGGTGTGTCGAACGGTGCACGCTTTTATCCGTGAGATTTTCGGGACGCTTGTTACGATGACACGAATCGCTCTCAGTTGTTCTACTGCTTCTAAGGTAGTCATCAATCTGCGAAGAGCATGGCCGACATCAAGTCGGAGAAGAGCATGATACAAGAAGGTGCTGGCGGCAACTCACCACGAAAGAGGGCAAAAAAATAACCGGCGAAGAAGCATTCAACCATTCGGATGTATTATTCCGCACAGAATAAAAGCTATTTTTAGTTCGACCCACAGCCACCAGCCCCAGGTAAGCGTTCCAGGTCAATAGGAGTAGAGGTGGCACGTACTTTGCGGGCCGTACAGCGACTTACCAGAAACACTGACTGCATCACGCCCATGCCTGGCAGCCCCTCGATCGCGATGTTAACGAATATCACAGCGACGCGACCTATCTCTGCGAACCAGCCACTCTCCTCCGCTTCGCACACGTACAGGATGGGCGGCGGAATGAAGCGCCGGATGACCCTCTCCAAAAACTCCTGCTTTCTTATCAGCTGATCGTTGCACGTAATGTACGAGGAACGCAAATACATACGAAGGTGTTGCAGCAGGAACGAAAAACGGGAATGATGCACTCGGCAGAGTTTCGGCAGGTTATCATGCTGGGTTATCGTGCTGTCTTCACGAAATGAGGGTTTGTCCCCGTACCCCCGCGCCGCTCCTTGTGCAATCGAATACCTCGTGCTTGTGTCAATTTCCTGGTAGACCCGCGACCTAGAACACACCATGACAGACATTCATCTCCTCGTGGACGTTGTCGTCCAAGAAGGGCGGCATGGGTAAAATGCTCTCTGCGGTGCAACAGGCTCGCTTTCACCGTCCAACACGACCGAAGTAGTGAGAACTTGCTCGCGCACAAGCTACGCAAATACCTATTGCTTAGATGGTTGTCGCAACGGGGGAATGGCTCTGGCGGAAGTTTCTCAAGCCTCCGTTTGCGGCACGTGGCACCACACCCGTTGCCGAGAAAACGGCTGGGCAAAGTGGATGTCCTAGCTTATGAAGCAAGGTAAAACGGTACTTGAAAACCTTCCCAGACGTCCCTGACCTCTGTTGCCACGCTCGCCGTCGTACTGATGTCGCCCTCACCGTCGGCAGGTATTCCTCGCCTTTGAATCTCTTGGGCTTGCATTTCTCTACTTGTCCGCTCTAAAGCTGCCTCGATCTGAAACGGAAAGCCAACGCGCGACGAGGAAGCAGCAGCTCGAACTGTGAAATTGTAGGTTTTGTGTGTTGGATGACCTAATCCATGCGCTTCTGGTTGTTGGATGCTTTTTCGCGGGCGCAAAACGCTACTTCTGACATTTGTCTCTACCTGCAGGGAGCAACACTGCCCTTCGGGCAGACAAGACAGGCGGACGTAAGACTCGGGTGAAACTGCACAGGCTTCTATACGCCCATTTTTCCCTCCAAACCCTGTCCTCGCATGTGCCACAAGGGGCCGGTTGCCCGACAAAAAATAGTGTGCCAAATGATATCAGCTGAGAGACTACGACAGAGGGACGTTGCCAACGCTTCTCCAGACTCGTCGAGAGCAGACGCGTCTCTATGGCACACCGCGCGCGCACATGGTGCGAGCCTCCACTGACCCCACCGATCACCACAGGGGTGGCAACTACCTTGCTTGAACATGCCTTGGGCTGTGGGCTTGCGATGCGCAGCTTACCTCTGCCGCGCTCGCCGAGGCTTCGACCTTCACGTTCCCACTCTCGAGATGATTTGAGGCCCATTCCACCCCGCTCAGCGTTGATGACTTCCTGGTCCCAGCTGTAACACCGAGCTCATCATCCGTGACACCATTTCGACCAGCACTTCCCTCTTCATTTCCATTGAAATCGGTTTCAGCATGAGACGTTGGTTCCTCATATAAGCATCCTGAGTTTTCTGTAGAGATGGTGGACATGCGCGTCCAGTAGTTACAAGATGCGACCAGCTCGCCAGCGGTGCCATCCTCCATGGCTGTTGCCAAGTCCTGGTGCAAAGGGGCATGGGGTAATTGCTCCGTTTAGGCCGAAACTCGCGTGTTGGGAACCCATGCTTGAATGCCATGGCGGCTCTAATGTCAACCCGGTGCAAAATCAGACCGGAACAGATCGCTGCGGCAGGTGAAGACATAGAAACCAAACACTACTCATTCGGTTGGAAACAACGGAAACCAAGAGCAATTGGGAAAGTTACTGAGGAAGCTGAATCGGTACATACATACCAAGAACACCGAAGCGGCAAAAAAACGAACAGAACGTACGGCTCCCGGCAGTTAGCGCGATGTCTTCACACTTACGGAAAACGGTTCTCCCGCGGCCACGTACTGCCACCCGCCCTCCGCGCTTCCAACAGTGTATAGCTGCAGAGTGCCCACCCCTAGAGCCACGTGCAAGTGCATCACGTGCCCCTGCCCCGGCGGTTAGACAAAAGACAATATTTGCTTTTTCGTTCGTGTTTTCCATTTAAACTTACGCACATTTGGAGAACGGAGCAAGCCAACGACATTTTCAGCTGCTCGTTTCACAAACCTTCAAGAAGCAACCGTCATAAGTTATCTCTTCGTAGTGCGGTCGTTGTTGGCGCTACTTGCCATGTACTATGTCACCCTTCCAAGCGCCAAATGTCCGAAACACCCACTCCTTAGTAGAGCAGGCAAACGTTAAGGAATACCCCGCCTTCCCCCCAGGATGTTCTCCGTTTCAGCCCCAGGTAGACGAGCGTTTACTTGGGCATGTGTTTGTGTTGTGTTTTCGTCCTATTTATTATGGCGACAGTCCCCCCATTTTTGGTGGTGAGACGTGTACTACCCTCTTCAGTGTATGTAGAGTACTATACTTTACAGTGTATTTTTTCGTACAACTACAACCATCCAGGGTCACACAGGAAGGGGTAAACACCAGGGCTCTTTTCTTCTTTTTATTGGTTTTCGTGCCCCACCTTCCTCCTGGTGTGCGTGCTGAAGTCTTCTTTTTATCTCGTGAAGGGTCCAGCCGTCCCTTTCCCTCGCCAACTGTGCTAACGTCGAAGTTTGGTACTCACGAGAGGTTTTCGAGCTATATTTCGCTTTCACCCGCAAAGTTTTTCGCGACCTTTGCGACTAAACAGTAGTGGTTTTCGAGGATACCACTAGACCACCGGGTCGACCGGTCTGCAAGCAACGAATTACTACCCTTCTACCTGTGTCCTTTCTCGGTCAGTCGAGCGTCACCTGGATTTTTGTCCCGTCGAGACGCTTGAGGCAGAGCGCGCTCACTAGGGCTGCCCGCCGGAGAAGGCAGGGGTCGACGGTGCCTCTGTTTCCGTGGCCATCTGTAGGGACACATACATAGGACTGAGGCAAACGACGAACCCGGCCGTAAAACGCAGTTTTTGCCGTGTGACAGAGATCTCTGCGCCTTCTTCTTTGCTACTGTTTTCGGATAGGCTCAAGAGCGCCCCGTGACGCGTCGAATTTGCCGCTCTAAAACATTCCGGTTACTCCGACAGTCGATTCAGTGCAAACAACGGTACACACCATGTCGATCTTGCACACACCGGTCAGGGACCGTACATAAACATCAATACGCCCTTCGACTACGCGAGGGAAGGGAGCGTATCACTGTGTGCGCTCTACCCACTTACCTGTGAACGCTACGATAAGAGCGTCGCCGGCAAGCCGGAGGACGTCTCCCTCGTGGTCCGTGATTGTGCTCATCAGACGCTGCCAGAAGTCCCACGAGCAAGATACGCCCGACAAAGAAGGGGGAGGAAGAAGAGGAGCGGGGGGAGGGGCATCGGGGGATGGTTGTTTATGGAGAAGCAGGGGGAACGTCTGAAAGACGAGCAATCCGGCTGAACAGTTTGAATTGTCGAAGATTAAGCAGGATGCGTACGACGCAAAATAACTTGATCTCCCTCAGTTGATCGAAACATGGCTGAGTGGAAGGTGTAAAACCCGTTGTGGTTGTGGTGGTGGAAGCGGTGGTGGGACACAGATATTCATGTTTCACATGGAGACAATAAATGTGTGTACCGTTCTTTTGTCTACCTGGGAAAAAGGAGCCGGGCAAACGTATCGTACCTTGAAAAAGGAGTTGAGCACCACCTTCAGCTGTTCAGCCCCGAATCCCGCCTGCCCTTCTTCAGTGGTCTGAAGTCTCAGCAGCTTTGCTGACATCATCGTCCTCGAGCACGTTTTTGCCAACGCTTCATCCTCAAGACTCTTCCTCACTCCCTGCCGTGGAACTCCTTCGCCTTTATCGCCCGCCGCTTGTCGATGCCAGAGTAGATAGGACGCATGCGAAGGCGACGGGGATAGATTGCGCGCTGTTTTTTTCACGTTCTGATGCGAAATAATGGGCCCAGAATATCGAATGGAATCGATGAGCGAACAGGAAGCCCAAACATAGGTATATCCTTCCAAAACGTAGAGCAACCAGCCGGTTAGAGTGTACATGGTAGACAAAAACCTTCTGCGAAACCGGGTAAACCGCAGCGAGACAACACCGATACCGTTCGCCCCGAAACATTGCCGATCTCTATCGCCAATGTTTTTGGTCGCCCGATCTGGGCAAACCTTACCGTCACCAGACACGCCCCCGTCATTGTTAAGCAGGAGCTTTCCCTGTCGGAGTCCCTCTGCGAGGCTCGTGAAGCCACACCTGAGGAGGGCGACGTGGGGCGGGGGGGGGGGAGGGGGCGGGCGTACTCTTATGTTTTGCATGCCTTAGCGGTTAGACCATTGACCACGCGTCCTCGAGAGGACGGAGCATTGTTCCCACAGGACCGATCACCGATGGCCAATCGTTCCTTCCTACTTTGCCAAAGGTGGCTCAAACATTTCTTCCCTAGTCTATCTATCCTAATGGCATCCCTTCCCGCCTGTTCAAACCACTTCCTACTCCCCAGTACAGCTACCGTCTTCTCCTCTTTATTCCATGCCTCAAACATCTCCCTGTACCTCCCTTGTATTTTTCCCAGCTCAGTCATGTGCACTTCCCTCTCCTCTTCGTACAGCTGACATTCCGCGACTACATGAACACGGTCTTCGCATTCGAAGCCGCAATCACATTTGAACTTGTCGTCTTCGTCGTCTACCGTCCTATGTCTTCGTCGACGTTCTCGAAGGCCTACGTCCCCGGTCCTGAATTTGCTTTGTCCCTGCATCCATTGGTCCATGTAGGTATCCTTGAACCCTAGTCCTTCTTTCAACATTTCGTACACTTCTAGACCCTCCTTATTCTCGGTTTGTTGCCTTAGATTCTGTTCTTCTCTCTCGGCACAAGCAGCAGATATCTTCTCCTTGAACCCCTGTAGACCCTCCGTTTCCAGCGATTCATCTTCGTCGATTTCGAACCCCTTCCATACGTCCTCTACAACCTTGACCCATTCCGTGGGTTGTCTACCCCTCTTTTTTGTTTGCCCACTTTGCCTCCCATACTATTCTCGGCAACTTCTCCTCTCCCAACCCGCACATGCGATACTGCCATGTCAGCTTCCTTGCGTCTCTTCCCGACCGTAGGGATTGGATCCCCAATTCTGCCCTGACGGCTGCATTACTTGTGCGCTTGGAGCATCCTAGGATGATTTTCGCCGCTTTCATCTGCGCCGCCTCGAGTTCTTTCACTACCTTCTTATTTCCTTCCCATACTTCTCCGGCGTACTCTAGCGGCGGTACGATTACGCTCTTCAAAAACCGTCAATTTGATGCGTGTATCGAGGTGCCGGTTTGTGAGTATTGGGTGCAGCTTCCCTGCTCGTGCTTTGCCCTTTTCCGCTACCTTGGACATGTGTGCATTCCACGAGCAGTCTTAGTCTTTTGCGATCTCTACTCCGAGGTATGTGTACTGGTCCGCTACTGCAATCTCCTCGATCCCCCACTTCCATCTGTATTCTACTGGTTCTCCCTGTCCTCGTTGCATACCATGACGGCACTCTTCTAAACGTTGGCAGACAATCTCCACTTATCAGCAAACTTCTTCGCCGCGTCAATTTGCAGTTGCAGTCCCTCAGGGGTGTCCGACATACCAACAAAATCATCCGCAAACAGCATTCCCGACACCGAAGTTTCCGTGTCCCCTACTTTTACTCCCTTCCGGACTGCCTCTACGACTTCCAACAGATCGTTGATGAACACTGGAAATGTTGGGGACAGCGTGCAACCTTGTGGGACCCCTGTTCAATGTCGAAGAATTTAGATGGTTCTCCGTCTAGCATGACCGCGCTTTTCGTACACTCTATCATCTTCTTCAGCAGTCTTCCACATTTTCCCCTTGATCCCGTACTTGGACAATTGTTTCCACAGCCCCTTTCTCCATACTGTATCGTATGCCTTTTTCACGTCCAGGAAGAAGCAGTACGTCGGCTTTCCCGCCCTCTTTCTACCTTGGATGATTCTCCCTACCGTGAATGCGTGGTCTACGCACCCCCTCTTCTTTCGGAAACCTGCCTGGCCCTCACTAATGCTAAGTTCCTTCTCCAATACTCCCACTATCCTACCGTTCAGTAGCTGAGGGTGCACATATACATATATCTATTGCCTGTCTCTACCGGTTCCCTCTCATTTCGCGGAGATACGCGCAGGGGATCGGGGGCCTCAGCCGCAAAGTGTGTTCAAAGGAATGATGATTCCTAGATTTGTTGCAATGTACAGCAGCGCCCAAACAAAGGGGAAACCGATGAATTCGTGCGTATGCAACCCTCGACTTCACGATCGACGAGGGGAAGAAACGACTGAAGGCAAGCCTCCCAGAACGAAGGTGGAGAAGACACAATCCTGGGAGGCCTTCCTCCTGTGTGACCCGGCTGGATGCCCGCAAAAGGCTTTCACGAGGGTGTAAAATAACTCACGCGCAGATTTGTCGAGATGGCACACACACTACTGTGGAACATCATGACGTCTCCGTAGAAGGGCCGTTGCTTCAACCACCGCTACGAAAGGTGAAAGACGGAAAAAAGTACACAATGTTTTGTAGGCGGCACTTTTGTCGAGTCTCGAGGAAGAAAGGAATCACTAAAGTAGTAGATAGAGGTGCGCACATGTCGAGCATGACGACGGCGCATCCGTGGAAGTCTTCCCTCGTCGGCCGCATGACCGAAGCTTCCTCTCTCGTCAAGCGGCTGAGCTTGCGAAGAACGATGGTCGGCAAAAAACTGCAGAGCGTCTGAAGATTGTTCGCCTTGGCCTGGGGGGGCGATTGACGGGTGCATTCCTCAGTTTCAGTCGTATTTGTAGGGTGGATTTTCAGCCGGGCAGCTAGCAGGGTGGAATCGCACCACTGCTGTGACAAATGTTTCGTATACATACATACTAAACCGAGGCTATCTTCGGTTCCAATGGAAAACATCTTTGACATAGTGGCTGCTGTACAGACAGTTCGGGGTGTTTGGCCCTCGTGAAAGGTTGCACAAAAAAATCGCAATCCACGCCAGCCGGATGGCATCACCTCGTGCCGGGCTGTGCGGCCTTTCGGCAGCTTTTCGTCGCCACGTCACCACACCGGCGGGCGAGTACTCAAGCAAAAGAGACACAAAGGCTTTATCAGCAGAAGCGAAGAGAATGGTGCTATCGCCGCTTCGAAACACGTCTGTAACATTCGCACCGTGAACAAGGTGGAAATAACGTCTCGCAGACACATCTACCCAAGACAGAAATTGCGGCCAGTCCAGGGTAGGGGGTCTTGCAGCACCCACCAATGCAACCAGTGGCGAAGGCAAAGGTATGCGTGGGCGGCATGTCGCCGGTGGGACTCCGAAAAACTAGACACACAGTCAAACTACCGTTAAACAGGCCCTGAAACAAATTACATGTGTAGGCAACAGAAGAACCGTTTGTTGCGCCTCTACAGATGTTGCACCGGTAAAACCTCTGGTTTCAAAGGAGACTGAAACGAGAAACGCGCCGCAAGCTACGAGAGGGCACCAGAACAAGAAGTCAGATTCCAACAAGGGAGCAAGCAGGCACGCTTGTTGTCACACTTCTGGTGTATCCTGGTAACATCAGATCTGCTCGGTGCTCACAAGAAGCGGGGAAAATGGCGGAGGTCAGCTACCCCTTTACGATGCCTGTACCAGCAGCAAACCCCTTCGGAAAGACATTCTTGGCAGCGCTCGTACAGCGTCCATACACCACTTGCTCCATAGAAGGAGGGGCATACGAAACGTACGGAGAGCACCAGGTAATTTCTCATGCGCACCATACACACTCGTGTTTTCCTCAGAAGATGCTTTGCGCTTCCGATATAGACAGGGCACTTCCAGCGTCTACCAGAAAAGTTGCTGGCCGTCCTCCACACCTCTCTCCTCTGCATTAGACTACAGTTTTTCATGCGTGCTCATGCGAGAAGGCGTTGAACTCGACAGGGAGGAAACCTGCGCGAGCTGTGTCTTTAGCAGCGAAGCATAATAAATACTGTTGTAGGGATAAACTCCCGGGCAGGCCAAATTTTGGCAGCACTCGGGATACCCTTGGCGGGAAGTACGTGCTCAATGGGGGCGTGTAGGATACGGCTCAAAGGAGACCGTGGTTAGCGCACAGACGCGCGTGGATTTGGAAGGCAGAAACATAAGTGGAAGGGGGGGGGGGGGCAGGGGGGCATGACCAGGAGGAAACAAAAAGCAGGGGGACAACAAGTGCACATGTAAAACTATTTGACAGCAGTTACGACTCTACCTGGCTGAAGAGCAGCATGGCGCTCTTCCGGTTAACAATCGCCGTTTTGAACGACGTCTTGAATGTCACAGGGGCTTGACCCCCCCCTGTTCCCTCGAGGTTGGTGACATTGCTTTCCGCCGCGCTGCCGGTGCGTGAGTCAAAACCTTGTTCGCCACATAAAGCATCCATCCTTTCGTTCAACGACGTGTTCATAGTTGAGACGCAGGTTGACCTTCGGTATCGGTGATCCATGTGAGCACGCATGCATGGGTTGAGAAGCTGCGATGGTTAAGATTTGACGCCAGACGTGTTCTCGGAAAGGAACTGCTATTTCGCTGCGCTGAAGAATAATACACTCTGAACGGATGGTAAGAATGTCCACATTATGGAAAAATGGTGCATGTTGCTGATCGCAGGCAATGCTCGTAGAGCAGCGAGCAAGCGCGAACGAACGCCGTGTCTGCTAGACCCGTTAACAGAACAGTAAACCACCGATGCTGTTGTTCAGCATGGGGCCAACAACTCTA